GTTAAGTGAGGGGACAGAGGTCAAGTGAGGGGACTGAGAGGTTAAGTGAGGGGACTGAGAGGTCAAGTAAAGGGACTGAGAGGTTAAGTGAGGGACTGAGAGGTCAAGTAAGGGGACTGAGAGGTTAAGTGGGGACTGAGAGGTCAAGTAAGGGGACTGAGAGGTTAAGTGAGGGAGAGAGTGAGAGAGAAGTCAGTGGGCAGAACAATAACCATATATAACAGCCATAAGAGTTCTCATTTAAGATACCAAAGAGACAGACAGACACAGACAAAGAATGAAGAGAGAGAGAGGTTATAAAGAGAGAGACAAGAGAGAGAGAGGTTATAAAGAGAGAGAGACAGAAGAGAGGGGGGGGTATATTGATGAGAGATAAAGTGGCAGACAAAAAGAAAAAAATTAGAGACATAAAGAGAAATAAACAAGATAGAGAGTGAGAGAGAGTAGAGAGAGAGTGAGAGAGACAGAAGAGAGAGATGCCTCATTTATCACTCCTGAGGTAATATTCTCCTTCACTTTGTGGGTCGTAAGAGCGAATTGGTGTTCCTCTCTTAGGCAATGTTAATGTTTGTGGTGACGAGTGTTGCCTCTTCCTCCTCTTCTTCATCTACCTTCTATTCCTCTTCCATCGCATTCTTCTCCTCCTCCTATTCCTCTTCCTCCCTTTTTCCTCTTTTATTGCATCCCCTCCTCATCTTCTTCCCCCACCAACTCTTCCACCATTCCTTCTTCATCCCTCCTCCTCCTCCTCCTCCTCTTCTATCCCTTCCCCCCTATCCCTATCCTTCCTCTTCCACCACCACCATCATATTAAGTTAACTAGATTGGCTACACAAGACCAGCTGGCACATCCTCCCTCTTCCCAGCCAAAGGTAAAATAACTATCGGATTAACTTATTAACTCATTTAGGAAGTAATTAGCTAAGTAGGGTATTAAGTGTCGTCTTCAGAAGCTTATTGATGGCTAGTGACGGGTTGTTGTTGTTGAGTGTGGTTGTTGTTGTTGTTGTTGAGTGTGGTTGTTGTTGTTGTTGTTGTTGAGTTAATGGTTGTTGTTGTTGTTAGTATTATTATTATTGTTAATAATTTTATTGTTATTATTGTTGATATTATTATTATTATTATTATTATTATTATTATTATTATTATTATTATTATTATTATTATTGTTATTATTATTATTATTATTATTATTACTACCATTGGTGATACAAAATAAAAATAATTGACAATCACTACACAAACACGTCTATCAATATCAATAAACCTTAAATTATAAACGTAACAATAAAACAAAAGTAAAAATACACCCCTCCCAACAAAAAAAATCTATAGAAACATATCTATATTTTGAAGTAATAGACTATAACTAATAGATACAAAAATAAATATAGAAACATATATAGAAAAATATACAGTTTATGTAATATTTCGAGCAGTGAGGCATAAGAAAGACGTCGGGGATAAGGTATGACTTAGGTAAATTAAGATTCTCAATTAGAGTCGACGACGGAGGAGTAGGCGTTGAGAGTGTTCTTGGGACGATGTAGTGAATGAGATACGCCGGAGGAGGAAATCTGATGGTGGCGGTGAGAGAAGAGAGTGTGTGTGTGTGTGTGTGTGTGTGTGTTTGGTTTGTGTGTGTGTGTGTGTTTGAGAGAGAAGATAGTGTGTGTGTGTGTGTGTGTGTTTGAGTTTTGTGTGTGTGTGTGTTTGAGAAAGTATGCGTGTGTGTGTGTGTGTTTGAGAGTGTGTGTGTGTGTGTGTGTGTGTGTGTTGAAGAGTATGTGTGTGTGTGTGTGTGTGTTTGAGAGAGAATGCGTGTGTGTGTGTGTGTGTGTTTGAGAAATGTGTGGGGTTCTGTTTCTAGTGTTGGCTACCACTGTATGAACTAACCCTGATGACAGCACCAGCCAGCCAGACCTCTCTAATGTATCCCAGAGTTAACCTACCAACCTAGCACAGCCTATCCCAAAGTTAACCTAACCCAGCCTAGCTACATCCCAGAGTTAACCTAACCAATCCAACCTAGCCTATCCCAAAGTTACCTAACCCAACATACAACCTAACCTAACCTAACCTAACATACACCTAACCTAACCCAACCTATAAGCAGCGGATCTAAATTAGCTAGAGAGAGAGACTACCTGGTGGTGAGCTGGATGAAGTTCCTGGAGGACAACTGGAGCAGCGGGAGGAAAATGATGATGATGATGAGAGACAGACATAGAGAGAGAGACAGACAGACAGACGGAAAAATAGATATAGAGAGACAGATATAGAGAAAAATACAGATAGACAGACACTATAAAGACAGATATAGAAACAGAGATATGAGAGGAGAGTAAATAATGCAAGCAGAAGTGGGATGAAAATTAAAACAAACAGAGAGGATCAGGTGTGTGTGTGTATGTATATGTGTATGTGTATGTATATATGTATATATGTATGTATGTATGCGTGTGTATGTATGTATGTATGTGTGTGTATATGTATGTGTATGTCTGTATGTATGTGTATATGTGTGTATATGTTTGTATGTATGTATAGGTGTGTGTGTGTGTGTGTGTGTGTGTGTGTGTGTGTGTGTGTGTGTGTGTGTGGAAAGCCCCACTAATCACACTGTTGCAATTAGTTAATAGGTCAATAAGTCCTGGAGAAGTTGTTTAGGTCGGCATTGACTTGTTTGTTTGGTGCATGCCTTAGGTGTATGGTCTTGGGGGAGTTAAGGGTTAAGGCTTTCTGAACGTGTGTGTGTATGTATGTATGTTTATGTGTGTATATGTTCATGTACGCGTATGTGTTTCTTTTTATGTATGTATTTGTGTATTTATGTATGTGTGTATTTATGTATGTGTAGATGTGTATGTGTGTGTGTGTGTGTGTGTATGAGCTCTTGTGAAAGTAAACAAACAGACAGTGAGACAAGGACCTCCTGAGGGGCCTTGAGTTATGAAGGGGGAGGGAGAGAACAGGAGAGGAGGAGAGAGAACAAGAGAGGAAGGGGAGAGAACAAGAGAGGAGAAGAGAACAAGAGGAGGAGGAGGAGAGAGAACAAGAGAGGAAGAGAGGGAGAGTAGAGAACAAAGAGAGGAGAGAAAGAGAGAACAAGAGGGAGGGAGGGAGAGGGACAAGAGAGGAAGAGGGAGAGGTGAGATAACAAGAGAGGAGAGAGAACAAGGAGGAGGGAGAGGGTAGAGAGAACAAGAGGAGAAAGAGAACAAAGAGGAGGGAGGAGGAGGAGAGAAGACAAAGAGAGGAAGAGGGAGAAGGGGAGATAACAAGAGAGGAATAGAGAACAAGAGATGAAGAGAAGAGTAGAGAGAGAGGAAGAGTGAATAATGAGACAGACAATAAGAGAATGAGTGAATAACGAAAGACAGAGACTCAAACAAAATTAACGAACAATAATAATAATAAAATGAAAAAAAAAACGATGAATAAAATGATAAACGGAGTAGACACAAACAAAAACACTAAAAATTGAACCAGCAACTTAAAGAAAATGGAATAACGAAGAAAAACGAGAAGAGAACGTGGGTTTGTTCAAACAAGTTGATAAATGGATAATAATGCCCATAACAACAATAACTGGAAGACCAAGAAAAGGTGATGAGAGGGGGAAGAGGGAGAGAATATGATAAAGATGGAATTACGAATAAAATGGGTGAAGGGGATTGTGTAGGAGAGGTGAAGGGTAAATGATAAAAGGAGGAAGTAAAGGAGAATAAGCAAGGAAGATGAGGAAATAGCGTGGAGGGGGAGGAATGTGTATGTAAAGAACAAAGAGGCGATGAAAGTAGTGTTTAAGAGGAACCCATGAGAATTGCAACCAAGAAGAAAGAATGGAAGAGAGAGGAGGAGAGAGAAAAGAATGATAAAGATAGAGGAGGGAGAGAAAGAGAGTGATAGAGAAGAAGAGAGGTAGAGAGTGAATAATGAGAGAGAGTATGTATGATAAAGACAAGAGACGGAGAGAAAGAATGAATGGATTGTGAAGAGAAAAGATATATGAAAATGTACAGCCTTGAAGGAGAGAGAGAGACGTGTGAATATACTCAACAAAAGGGTGTGTGTGTGTGTGTGTGTGTGTGTGTGTGTGTGTGTGTGTGTGTGTGTGTGTGTGTGTGTGTGGCTGAGGCAACACTGGACACTTGGGGACCACACCTCCTCCTCCCCCTCCTCCGTCAGCACCCCAGGGACTCAACACCTCCTGCTCCCTCCTCCGTCAGTAGCACTCCAGGACTCAACACCTCCTCCTCCTCCGTCCAGATAACACCGAGACCACACCTCCTCCTCCTCCTCCTCCGTCAATGCACTGAGACCCAACACCTCCTCCTCCTCCTCCTCTGTCAGTAGCACCCAGGGACTCAACACCTTCTCCTCCTCCTCCTCCTCGTCAGTAGCACCGAGACCACACCTCCTCCTCCTCCTCCTCCTCCGTCCAGTGCAGGACCCAACACCTCCTCCTCCTCCGTCAGTGCACCAGGGGACCACACCTCCTCCTCCTCCTCCTCCAACTCCTCCCGTCAGTAGCACCGAGACCCCACCCCTCCCTCCTCCTCCTCCTCCGTCAGTAGCACCAGGACCCAACACCTCCTCCTCCTCCTCCTCCGTCAGTAGCACCAGGGACCCAACACCTCCTCCTCCTCCTCCTCCTCCGTCAGTAGCACCGGGACCCAACACCTCCTCCTCCTCCTCCTCCTCCGTCAGTAGCACCCAGGACTCAACCTCCTCCTCCACCACCGAGAGGCGAGGTGACGTGGGGATGAGGCGAGGAAAGGTATGGGCATGGCTAAGGAATATCCAGTCCTTCGTCAAGAATTAAGGACTCTCTCTCTCTCTCTCTCTCTCTCTCTCTTCAATGTAGAGCGAGTGATGTGTGAACTATGAGGGGAGCCCACTGACCTGTGAGTTGTGTGGAGGGGCGTAGGTCCTGGCGGCCATCAGCAGGCTCAGCAGGCCACCACACACCCTGGGTCCTGCCATCCTGCCTCAACCTGTAACACAACACAGTAACCTATTGTTGAGATGTGACGAATTGATACCGTGTGTTATTTGGGTATTTATTTGTTATTATTGTTGTTATTATTATTGTGTTTGTTATTATTGTTATTATTATTATTGTTGTTATTATTATTGTGTTTGTTATTATTGTTGTTATTATTATTATTATTATTATTATTATTATTATTATTATTGTTATTATTCTTGTTATTATTATTATTATTATTATTATTATTATTATTATTATTATTATTATATTTATATTATTATTATTATTATTATTATTATTATTATTATTGTTATATTATTATTATTATTATTATTATTATTATATTATTATTATATATTTTTAATATTATTGTTGTTGTTGTTGCTGTTATTATTATTATTATTATTATTATTATTATTATTATTATTATTATTATTTCGAAAGAAAAAGATACATTTCATTAAACAAAGGGAACATTACCCTATATGTTCACTCATTCTCACGTAACTATTGAAATAAAATAAAACAATTAACTCTAGTTGACAAAAGTTCATAGTGTTTGGTTAAGGTAAATGGGCCAATTATCCTTAAAATACATGACAACAATACTGTCACATTGTTTAGCTGTGTGTGTGTGTGTGTCTGTATGGGTTGTGTTCATGTATGTATGTGTGTTTACTGTATATGTGCATGTATGTGTGTGTGTGTGTATACATGTGTCTCTATGGATTGTGTTGTATGTATGCTTGTCCCTTTGTGTGCCAGTTGCCTCTATACACACCAGTAATTGTATGTGTTCATCAACTAATGGATTCTATTCTGGTGTAATGATTAGCCAGTGAGGTCGATTAGCTGTCCGGTATGCCTGGGCTCTCTCCCCTGACAGCAGGTTTTAGTTGTCAGAACATCAGAGGTATATTAGTTTTGTTTTCTGACAAATAGGTTAAGAACACGTTTAGTCATCGTTGAAAATGTATATATGTGTGTGTGTGTGTGTGTGTGGTGTGTGTGTGTGTGTGTGTGTGTGTGTGTGTGTGTGTGTGTGGTGTGTGGTGTGTGTGTGTGTGTGTGTGTGTGTGTGTGTGTGTGTGTGTGTGTGTGTGTGTGTGTGTGTGTGTGTGGTGTGTGTGTGTGTGTGTGTGTGTGTGTGTGTGGTGTGTGTGTGTGTGTGTGTGTGTGTGTGTGTGTGTGGTGTGTGTGTGTGTGTGTGGTGTGTGTGTGTGGTGTGTGTGTGTGTGTGTGTGTGGTGTGTGTGTGTGTGTGTGTGTGTGTGTGTGGTGTGTGTGTGTGTGTGTGTGTGTGTGTGTGTGTGTGTGTGTGTGTGTGTGTGTGTGGTGTGTGTGTGGTGTGTGTGTGTGTGTGTGTGTGTGTGTGTGTGTGTGTGTGTGTGTGTGGTGTGTGTGTGTGTGTGTGTGTGTGTGTGTGTGTGTGTGTGTGTGTGTGTGTGTGTGTGTGTGTGTGGTGTGTGTGTGGTGTGTGTGTGTGTGTGTGTGTGTGTGTGTGTGTGTGTGTGTGTGTGTGTGTGTGTGTGTGTGTGTGTGTGTGGTGTGTGTGTGTGTGTGTGTGTGTGTGTGTGTGTGTGTGTGTGTGGTGTGTGTGTGTGTGTGTGTGTGTGTGTGTGGTGTGTGTGTGTGTGTGTGTGTGTGTGTGTGTGTGTGTGTGTGTCACCTGAAGATTATCCACAATAGCTTATTCACCTGATGATTAAACACCATAACTCTTCTTAGTGGGTTAGATTAGGTTATGATTAGGTTGGGTTAGGTTAGATTAGGTTATGATATGTTAGGTTAGGTTAGGTTAGGTTAGCATTATAGGTGGCTATTTTTTAGGTGAAATAAACTGGGGGCTAAACTTGAGGTGATCTGAATGCGCTCCATGGTTGACTTGAAGTAAAATACCGTCAAAGAGTAACATCAAAACTACTCGGAAAGTTCATCTTGACAACATAACTTCATCTAACACAGTTTATGAGACAAAATTAAGGTAGAGACTTGGTAAAAGATTCTCTACCGTAATTAAGTCAACATTACTACTTGGCGAAAAACATAAAACTCAGCAGCCTCTGTAAACATCAAAGAAAAACACGTCAACTCTTACGTCAAGATTTTAAGTTAACCACAAAGTCAGGTTGTAATTTAGTTAAGTAATTTTTTTTATTTTATGTTTCGTACGTGGTTGATGTTTAACGTTGTGTAATATATATTTAACCATTTCTTTCATTATTGTATCTGTGTTTGTTTACATGGGCACAGATGTTGAGACAATATTCCCGCCAAAATCAGTGTTTATTTAATTGAGCTCAGCTGTTAAAAGACAGACATCATTCCCGCCAAAATCACTTTGTTTACATGAGCTCAGCTGTTGCAAGAGACAATGTTCCGCAAAATCAGCGTGGTGGACAACAAGAAGATAAACAAAGGTGACGCGCACTTCATTAGCTCCTCCCGTTAAAATCTTTTGCTATGTTTACCAACTCAGCATTTTATATTGAAAATTCACGGTTCTTTCTTCAAAGTTTCTAATAAAACTTTTCTGGAAGAAGAAGAATAGCTCAGACGGGAGAGAAGAGGAGGCGAGAGGGGTGAGAGCCTCAGAGATGACTTTTAGATGTTGACATTTTTGAACGGAATAATAATGATATGTATTACTGTATATTATGTATTAATGTACGTATGTGTTACTGTGTGTATAATTACTGTATTACTCTTTATATAAGTAACTCTTTCGGGTAAGGCTTTAGATGTGCTCACCAAGTCGATCTTTGAACCCATTTGAACCTTTGAATATGTACACACACACACACACACACACACACACACACACACATGTAGAGGAGGCAAAGTTTTCAATCAATATAAAGTGACATCCCCCCCCCCCTCTCTCTCTCTCTCTCTCCATTTATTTATCTAATATTCTGGTCTCCAATAATTAATCTCTCTATATCTATCCACCCATCCATGAATCCCCTCCATCCATCCATCCATCTAACCATCCATGTGTCCCTCCATCCATCTAACCATCCATGTATCCCTCCCTCCATCCATCCATGTAACCACCCAACCATCCACCCATCCATCTAACCATCCATCCATCCATCTAACCATCCATCCATCCATCCAACCATCATCCCATCATCCAACCATCATCCATCCATCCATCAACATATCCACCCATCCATCCATCCATCCATCCATCTAACCATCTAACCATCCATGTATCAAGTTAGGGCGAAAGGCCACACAGGAACAAAAAAAGAGACAAAGCTTTGAGGCGAAATTGGTGAGCCTGGGTCAGTGTGTGTGTGTGTGATGGTTCTTTCCTGTTCGCTGTTTTTTTTTTTTATTCTTTCCTTCTTTTATTCCTGTTTCCTTTTATCTCTTGTTTACTCTTGTCTGTCTCCCTTTTTGTTTTGTTTTGTCTTTCTTTTATTCTTTCTCACTCTCTCGCCTGTTCCTTTGTTTGTTTTGTTTTGACGAATACTACCACTACTACTGTGACTACCACTACTACTACTACTACTACTACTACTACTACTACTACTACTACTGCTACTACTACTACTAGTTTTTCTTTTTTTAAATGGCTACTACTACTACTACTACGACTACTTTTTTTAAACACTACTCTACTACTACTACTACTACTACTAATAATAATAATAATAATAATAATAATAATAATAATAATAATAATAATAATAAAGAAGAAAGAGGAAAGGAGGAAGAAGAAAAAGCGATGAAATCAACAGTTATCTATTATAGGAACAAAAGCCTCCGATTGGCTATTTCACCAACCAATGAGAGACGAGGCGCCGTCAAAACACACACACACACACACACACACACACACACACACACACACACACACACACACTTTCTTTCCGTCACAAACCTAACTTTTTCTTTTACTTTTCTCTACGGTCATGTTTGTTTTGATTAAAGTCCATCTCTCATTGGTTCGCGAATCGGCCAATCGGGAGGCGTTTGTTACCAACTGTGCGTACCTGTTGTCCTACTGTATGTATACACGAAGACGGGGTTACCTGCCACCTGGTAATTAACGATACAATTACACCTGTCAGTTATAACATTCCCTTCCTCTTCTCTTCTTCCTCCCTCCATATGACCTTCCACGACCCTCCTCCCTCCCTCTTTCCCTCCTTCTTATACGACTCCTTCCCTCTTCTTTCTACCTCCCAGTCCACGACCCTTCTATACTTCCCTCCTTCTTGTCTACAGCTATCTTCCTTCCCTCCTTCCATGTCCTTCTCTCTACGACTCCCTCCTTCCCCCTCAATCCTCATCACGACCCTCCTCCATCCCTACTCCTTCACTCTAAGACAGCCATAGCTTCCTGTCTATGACCATCCAATCTCCCCCCTCTCTTCCCGCCTGTCACAGGCCCCCCATCCCCTATAGCCTGCCTGTCACCACCATCTGGCGTACAGTCAACAATACTGAGTTTTAGTTCCCGATGACTTTTGTTGGGTCACTTACCTTAAATTATTATTATTATTATTATTATTATTATTATTATTATTATTATTATTATTATTATTATTATTACTGTTGTTATTGTTGTTATTGTTATTTTATTATTGTTACTCTTATTATTATTGTTACTCTTATTATTATTATTATTATTATTAATACGGCAACTACATCAAACCTCTCTGGTATCGCCATTTCAGTCCTCCTCCTTTGCTTCCTCTCTCTCTCTCTCTCTCTCTCTCTCTCTCTCTCTCTCTCTTCCTCCCTGTTTTTCTTCCTTCCTTCTTCTCGCCCTCTCTCCCTCCTTCCGTCCGTTACTCTCTCTCTCTCTCTCTCTCTCTTCATATTGCTCACATCTTCCTTCCTTCTCACCCTTCTTCTGTCTTCTTAATATTTCCTTAAATTTCTATGCATCTATCTCCCCCCATTTCCCTCCACTGACCCCTCCTTCCTTCCCCTTCCTTCCCTCCCTCCTTCCCTTCCTTTTCCTATACCGACCGACCTTCGCCCCTCC